CATAATCACGCACAAAATAAATGTACTTGTAAATTTAATTTAAATTACCATTCCAGTTACAGCCTCAAGCTCAGACCTTGGAAAAAAAAAATCCCTACCTGAGAAACATTCAATTTCTGTTATGCTCTCCAATTTGTTTCAATTCACAAGCAGTTTGAAGCATTCACATTTGCAGTGATGCCCAAGAGGCAGGAGAAAAAGACTCAAAATATCACTTCAGTAAGAGACAGGACAGTTAGGTAAGAGACAAAAGGAAGACAAAGCAGCAAACAGGGTGGCAGTGGTCAAAATTAAAGGCCATAGTCAAACCCAAGTCAAATTTGTGTAGGTATCTCAATGAGAGATTTGTCCAGAAAGAGATTGCAGGTTGTCAGTGAGCTAAGTACAGATTTCTGGAGAATGACTTTTCATGTGTGAAGATTTCCTTTTGTGATGTGAAATAGAGATGTAGAATTTGTGCAGAATCAGTGTCTCGGGAATTCACCTTCTTCTCATGGTACCAATCTACAGGAAATATTCAAAATATTAAAAAAGTTAAATTTTTTTTCCCCCCATCAATATATTTTGGTATTCACTTCACTCATAACTGCTGATGAATGCCCCATGCTTGATATTTTATAGCCACGATCAGACAATTTTCTTGGCTCAAAGGGGCTTATCTTATCTTAGTTTCATGACAAGATACCAACAAGGGAATAAAGCACAGATGAAGAATTTCAGAAGTAGTGAGAATGAAACAGGTGAACCATTCACAGTAACTGATAATCACAGATCACTGCCTTCCTAGGTACCAACTGCCCTGTGAAATGAGAGTTTGACATTTTTGTAGCTGTAAATCCTTTGTACCTGTGGTGCATATTCATCAATAGTACTTTCTGCTGGCATCCTCATAACCAGGTTACCAGGTGCTTATGAAGTTTCCTCCAAAAATTAAACTCTTGTAGAACTACTTGAAATAGGCATAAATCAGAATTTCCTCTTGCTCTCTACGATCCAAATGCAAAATTCATTATTCTATGACTAGTCTGAATGCTCTGGTGAAGAAAGGCATTTCCTATCATCAGCAAACCCGAGCTTCAATTTGAAATATGTCTGACTACATGTGTTTAAATGGAACATTCCAATTCCTAAATGAACTTAAATGTTCATCACTTAAAATCATTGTGCTGAACATCTTATAGAAATGTTGAGTATTATATATACATTCAGTGATTTTAAAAGATTGTGCTTCAGTTACTGCTACTTCTGTCTGTTGTGAGTAATACAGCATTTACTCTGCAGGGGTCATCTGTGCTGCAAAGTACTAAGAGCTTGAATGAGAAAATGAGACCTTGACACTTCATTAAGCCATCTCAGTCTGAGAACAGCCTTTTCAGTCTCTTTAACATTTTTCATAAGTCAGCTATGTTGCTCCCATCCAGTACCTTTTTATCACAATGTTACAGTTTTGCAGTTTTGACATATCTCATGTGTAGTCACCAAAAACCATCCTCTCCTATTTTTTATTTCCGTGATCTCTATTTGACTTTACCTGTCTGATTTGGGCTGCCATTTAGACCAGCTCTGTGGAAGACTGATTCCTCACTGGGACCACAGAACTTACTTTATATATGGCCTGGTATGAGATGCTGAGTCAGCCAAAGCTATGAGGTGGATCCATCTTGTCCCTGTCTCAATAGATCAAAACATTCAAACAGCTAGGTATTTTCTTAGATTCTGAGTAGAATCTTAGCAAATAAACCAAATTTTCTGAAGTCAGGTTAGATCAGACAAAGTAATTAGCCCAACTGAAAATAAAAATATTTATACCTGACTTTGTTCCATATTTCCGTGTTCTGGCAGCAGCTTGTGCTTCCAGACCAGCTCATTCTCTTTCTGAGTTGCAGCAAGCAATCCCTGCATGTCACCCTTTGGTCCCTGGAAAGTCCTTCAGCCCCACCTGAGGCCAGGGCATTTCTCACCCACCAAGAAAGCATTCACACCCTCTTAGGCTAGCCTGAGATCCAAAACATTTGTTCATTTAAATGTATCCTGTTCAGACAGAGATTTGTTGCAGACACAGGTGTGTCGTGCACCCTTGTAAATCTGGAGAGACTACATAGGTCAGATATTGAACTGAGATCCCATGCTGATGATGGTGATGGTCTGAGCATGTAGAAAGCAAATGACATTTTAGCATGGAGCATTGACCTTAGTGCTAGTGGCACAGTCTGTTTGAGATTTTGTGATTACAGACATGAGACAGACAGCCTACATATGACAGAGGGAGAAAACTGTAAGAGCCAGAGATGCTTGAAAGAAGCGAGCAATGCATTTAGTATTCATTGTAGAAACAGCAGAATAGTGTTAATCAATAGATCATCAGGATCTTGTTGCAGTATTCCTTTGCAATTGTAAGGAGAGAGAAAGATATTTCTTGCAATAAAACCCTATCTGTGTAAGTCCACAAAGACAGGCTTATTTTTTCTAGCTGAGAATATGGTGAAGATCAAATGTGTTTCTCTCAACAGCATGTCTGCATAGGCACGTGTAGGAAGACCTCAGGCTGCTGGAAGAAAGTGAGATCATTCTGGGAGGCTGTAATAGCATAACTCAGCTCTGCTGAGAAGCTCAGTGTGATGTACAGCTTTACAGTCAATGTAATTCATGGAAACAAAAGGGCCCTCTCTAGCCAAGGGTATGCTGCCTCCGCAGGCTTAGCTAGCTCGTCTGTGTTGCTGCATCTTCTATAAAAATCTTAGTGAGTCTCATTTATAGAGTAGATCAATACTTCAACTCACATGCCTCCTGCATGTTTAGTCTTGTCCTCAAGCTTTGCCTTGTTCCATGGTTTAAGCTTGGTGATCAGTTTATCACTGTGCAGCCACTCTCTCCCTCCCCCACAGTGGGATGGGGGAAGAATCGGAAGGGTAAAAGTACAAAAATTTGTGCATCAGGATAAAAACACTTTAATAGGTAAAGGAAAAGCTGCACAAACAAGCAAAACAGACTTAAGGAATTCATTCACTAGCTCCCATCCACAAGCAGGTGTTCCATTTTCCGTTTTCCATTTCCAGAGCCATTTTCCAGAATAGCAGGTCTCCATCTCATATAATGGGTATTTGGAATGTTAAAGACCATAATTAGGAATGTACCCTCTTTCTTCTTCTTTCCTGAGATTTTATTGCAGAACATGACACGATATGCTATGCAATACCTTTTGGGTCAGTTGTGCTCAGCTGTCCCAGTGTGTCCCCTCCCAGCTCCTTGTAGACCCCCAGCCTCTTTGCTGGTGGGGTGTGTGGCAGGCAGAAAAGGCCTTGAAGCTGTGTGAGAGCTGCTCAGCAATAACTAGAACATCCCTGTGTTATCAGCCCTGTTTCCAGCACAAATCCAAGCTACTATGAAGAAATTTAACTTTGTCCCAGATAAACCAGTACACTTAGTTTCAGTTGAATAGGCTTTCAGTGTGGTTTGCAGACTTCCAGACTTTCCCTCAACCATGTGAGCAGCCATTAACGTTAGAAGCTCAACTCTACACCTGTTTCTCTGAGATGCTCTGCTGTGTCACTAGCTCTCCTATCCTGCTTTACTTTGCGAGTTACACTCTCTCTTTTTAAGGTACAAGGCTCACATAGGGGGAGATGAAGAGCATGTCATTATGTTGTGGTTGAAGAAGAGGTTCAGTAACTCAAGCAGACTCATAAACTATTTCCTCCAAAGGATTAAAACATCTCTGTATTTGACCTTTTGCTATGTTCTTTCCAATTTTTAGATACTGAACTCTCTAGGCAGCCAGGGTGTGTTGAGCTCAATAAGAGTCAGTCTTTGATGAAAACTTCTGCTTGTTCCTTCTTCTGTTACCTTAACAACCAGTGTATGTACTTCTCAAGTTACATCTTCATCTGAAGTGCCTCCTTCTTCCACACACATTTCCACTCTGAATATTCACTGAAAAATTATGCTGGAAATCATATATTACACAGAATTTGTATATGCCTGTTTTCCAACAGTAATTGAAATTGTCAGATAGCAAGCAACTCTCCTGCCAAATTTCATGGGTTTTTCTTTTTAAATTTACCTCAATCAAAAAAGATAACTTCATGTTTAAGCTATTGAACACCAAAGCAGAATTGATAAGAGGTACCCAATTTCCTCCTAAGAAAAGATTCTGTCACATTCTACATTAACGTGGTGATAGTTTTCAGTGGAGGACTGCAGATTTTTAGATTTTTTAAGAAAAATTAAACTCTTCAAAATTCAGTTAAAGCAACAAGATTCTCAATGCTTAGACATGTTAAAGTCTCACCAAACTCTGCACTATCTTTCAATACAATAAGGCTTAAAAATTGTTACATTCCAATAATTTTTTATGGTGATCTGCCTGTATGAAAAATATTTTTTCTTTATGGGAGCACCGGTAGCTTAGACTCCTCAATTCAACAGTGTATATCAGCATGCTCTTAAATTAGAAGTATGCACAGCAGCAAGCCAGACTTCACACGTTTAATGCTCAATTTGTAGACAAGAGTCCTGACATATGACTCAATATATCAATATGACAATATGACTCATCATATTCTATACATTTTCTATAAATTACTGTCTCTAGGACTTTTGAGTTGTTGTAATACTAAGTTTTCTTTGAAGTCTATCATAAATGCACTTTGAGGAGGTAACTTGTATTATGGATGTTAGATTTTCATCCTTCAGTGTCATATACACATATTCTTTGCTAGTAGTCCTTTTCTGACAAATCAGTTCCTCCAAGTCATCACATGAAAATGTCTTGCAATGACATCATACTTGTTAAGTTTTATCTCAAACTCTAAAAACTTCAGTCAAAGAAAGGTCTTAACCCTTCTTGAAGTACAAGTTCAAACACACTCTATCAAGGGAAAAAAATAATAGATTTATAATCCATTTGAAATGTGTCAGCAAGGTTTAAACCAGGGGGGAAAAAACCAACCCAACCAAAACCTAAAAAATTTTCTATTACATTTTATTTGAAAGGGCTACTGTTTAATTTTTATTTTATCAGCAGGATAAATTACTCTCCTTAAAATTCCAAGGAAATTTTACTTGGTAAGTGCTTAATAATGATTAGGTGTTGCTGGAAAGCCCTCGACTAAATTTGTAATGTTTAATATAATAAGGATGACTGTACTTGCTTTCTCCTCTACCCACTCTTCTCCATCATTTTGGGTCCCAGATTTGCTCATGGGCTGGAGTTTCTACTTTCATGTCTTGAGCTCACCACACTCGCCTCAGTCACCACATCAGATGAGACAAAATAAAGAAATAGAGCAATGTATATGCTCAGTTATAAGCTCTGATACCAGCTCATCTCCTGCCCAACTTCTTTTCTTCCTCTGTTCTTAGCAATTTCTTCAGCTCTACACCTGTAAGAGAGTAGATTGAGATTTTTGTGTTCAATGTAATTTCCATAAATTTTTATAGAGATTACATTTTTGGCAGGAAGTGTGCCTAAACATTTTATAGTTCAGGTATATACCTGACCCCTGTCTGCTCATTGAGTTGAACTCTTTAAACGTTCCTGAGCATCTTGCAAGAAAAAAGCAGAATACCAAAAAAAAAAAAATGTCATTAACCTCCTCCTGTATTGCTGAAATCAACAAACTCCTCCTGTTTGTTGCCCATGCTTCATGCTTTGGTGTAAAGACACCTCAGCTCAGCTGCTGGCTGTGTCACCTTCTTAGGGAAACACCCCTTAATTCCTTTGAGGTTTTTCTCTGGTGTTTGGCTTTTTCTGTTTCCCTGTTGGTCCTTTACCTCAGGAATGCCTGACTCATTCCTGTGAGACAGGAAGTGTGCTCCAGTGTGGCTCACACATTTCAGAGTCCCTGGCAGAGGGGCTTCACTGGTACCCTGTCCCTCTAACCTTTGCATATCACCCCAGGAACAATCCTGACATTGCTGTGTGCCATGTCTGTCACTCCCCTATCACACACAGTTTAAAGCTCTGCCAGTTCCTGCTAGTTCCTTAGCAAAGACTTGCTGAGAAAGGTGACTCCCATCTGATGCCAGCTTGCTTGGTGCTATGCATTCCACTGTCAAAAACCCCAAAATATTGATCAGCCATGGAACCATGTATTAATAGACTCAGCCTGTCTGTTTCTTCCAGTGTTGCTACCTTCAACAGGAAATCTGAAAGAGAATATAACTTATGCCCCAGACTTCCTTACCAAATGTCCCAAAGCCCTGAAGTCCTGTTTTGATGGCCCTTGAACTACATGTTGCCATTTCATTACCCCTGTGTAGGAGATCAGTACCGGGGTACTCTGAGGGCTGCACCGGGCTAGGATGTTTCTTGGTGATATCCTTAATGCAGGTCCCAGGGAGGCAGCAGACACTCCCATGGGCTGAGCCTGGCTGGCTTATTGGGCTCTCTGCTCTCTTTAGAAAGGAAATAACCTACAACTTTAACCCATCTTTTGTCCTCTTGCAAATGGCTGTAATACAGACCTTTCTGATTGTAACCTTTCTGATTGGTGTAATTGGGCCGTCATCCTCTTCATCCTTTGGCTGGCCTCCCATGTACAAAACCTCATAGCTATTCTGCAGAGGGTGAGTTTAAAATTCCCTTGGAAACATACTACTAATACACACCAGCTTGTCTTTCTGAGATTCCCCCTACTTCTTTTTGAGTAAACAGACTGTTCATTGGTTTTTTACCAACATAAAGTCACAATGCAAAATGGGGGAAAAACCCATGGAAATATAACCTGGTCAGCCCAGAAAAGATGGTTCCTAGTCACCTCCCAGCCTCTCCACTAGTTTTCTGTGGCCCTAAGAAGGAGATTTGGCACTCAGGATGGGGAAACCATGGTTCTCTTACACCCCACACTTGATCTGGACAAGAGTGAGGCTGAATGTTGATGCACACTTAAGGGAGCATACATGGATCCTGTCTATTAAATAGATTTATTACACACTTGCCACTGTGGGTTACTCAACATCACAATGCACCTTCAGTCAAGTGCTCCCATATTCTTCTATATACCCTACAGTGCCTTGCTTAGTGGTTTTAGGAATGCTTTAGACTGTTGCTTGAAATATACATATTTTCTTGCACAGCAACTGCCACTATCCCAAACTAAAGCTGTCTTTTCCACCCCTCCAGCTCAGATATTTATCAGTTAGGACTGTTTGAAACTCAGTAGATGTAGCTGGCAGTGTCAAAAACACTGGAAACATGTGGAAATTGAAATGGGGCTCATAGAGAAAATTTTATTACTGCAGAGGGTAAGCACAGCTTGCACACAAACATAAGCACTCCTCTTAGACCCTACCCCCACATGACAGGAAAATGTGTTGCTCAGTTCTAGCAGTTTGAAAAGCCAGGAATAAGCCATTAATCATTTTATTTTACTGTGCCTCATAAATTTGTGAAGCCTGTATTTCCCAGCAAACCATACAACCCATTTTATAGAACCACAGAGCTTCATTGGAAGCCAGGCACACCCTGGCCTTCCCTGTTCTGTGACATTTTCTTTGTCTTTTCACCAGAATCGCATGTCATTGACAATGAGCCATTTTACAAAAATTAATCCAATGAAACTCTCCCTCCAGTTATTGGAAACATCCCTGATTAGTGGCCCAGGTTACTGGCAAGGCTTGTCCTGGACTGCAACACACACTGATGGGTTTTCCTCTGTTACCACCAGTCTGCTACTCACAGTACAGATTCTGCTCTGCAGTTTGATGCATCCATATCAAAGACTGCATTGCCTAAATTCTCCACCATTATACTCCAAATTCATGAGCAAAAAAGGGGAACACCTTATATGCAAAATGAACAACTTATTTTTAGTTTAATGAAACTCTAAACCATGGAATTAAATAATTATTTTTGGTGCAGTTACAATGATACTTACATAGTTCAGATGAAATACGGTTAGAAATGACGCATACACAAACTTCCTAGAACCTCTCCCCTTTCTCTGTTATTGTGCTCACCTTTGCACTGCCCCTCTGGGTATGAAGGCTGATACCTCCAGGCCATGGACAGGGAGTTATAGCACACTCAGCATCTCCTCCCTGGGAGGAATGGGATATTGCTTCTCCCTTCTCAAACCAGGACCAGTGGTTGAGATCAATATTATATTTGGTAAGAGCATCTATGCTCTGCACTTTTACCTTGGTCTGTGATACCATGCTACACCTTCATTTGTGAGCTTAGCTTATGTTATATAGTAATTTTTTGTTCCTTTCCTACTAGAACCGGTTATATATGTACTGCTGAGGCTGCTTTCCTTTGATAACTTATTTGTATCTTCTTTCTAACAACTGACCAGTGCTGAGTCATGGGTGTGCTGACATGATCCTTTCCCTGTCCTTTAAAGCTCCTGTCAAAGAAGGCAATTTGGGAAGTAAGAAATCATGCTTACACACTTGGTACTAGATTTTCCAGCTCTTTCAACTGGAATAATTTGCTGGTGGTCATTACGGCCTGCTCTGACCTCCTTCGACACCCTCTTAACCTCCAGTTTTCCTTTTACTGATACAGCTAAGAAATCCTTCCAATATCTTTCAAAATCCAAGCTCTCATTTGGCACTGATTTTGTCATGGCTGCTATACATGAGCACACATGCATGTACTTAGATTTAGTACTTGCTCCTAAAGCCCTTTATTTTCTAAATGAAGCCGCTTCAGGCTCCAGTCCAACTCTAAACTCCCAGCTGCAGCAACCATTGCATCACACATTACTCTACCCTCCTTCACTTTTTTGTTCCAAGGGAAAAATTAGTCACTACAAATAACCCACATTTGCTCTAATAGAAGATTACACACTGAGGTTTGTGTTGCCTTCCCTTTGTTTTTCTCCCAGGGCATGTCAAGACTGCTAACTAATTTTCTAGGAATAGAACTAATCGCGTGAGCCAGAGAAAACTCTCTCAAATTTCTTTTCTGTACGATGGAAAAAGCTTCTTTGTAAATAGCAGAGAGCTTGCTCCTAGGGCTTGGAGCAACCTCCTTCTGTTGCAAGATCAGAGAATTTTGAGAAGCCTTCAATGTAGATTAGTTTTACATATTATCAAGCTTTCCAGGAAAACAAAATATGGCTCCATATAGTAGCAATCCACACAGTAGCTGAATGTGAGGTTTTAAATCTGAGTGAAAAGGATAATTTCAAAATTCTTGTGTTAAAGGCCACATTGAAGAGTAAATTTGAGTGGGTTTGGAATCTCTTTTCTGACAAATCCTTGGCTTCTCCCATGCTTATACACCATTTTCTGTCTGGAGAATTAAAACACATCATCACCGGTCAATCTGGAGATAATTTGTCCTACCTTCAAATGAGGTCTTAAGGAACATAAATCCCCAAGTATCTCTTTAAGTAGGGTAAAAGGGAGAACAACATGATCAAGCAATTCTGTAAGAGAAACTGAGCAGGTTAAATCAAAGTCAGTGTTGGAAATTGAGACCAACCAAACATTGTGAATCAGGTTATTCTCTTGTATAGATATTCCACATCCTTAGCTCTTCTACCAAACCTATTTGTATAAAAACCTGCTTGCAAACCCAAGACAAAACTGGCCATCAGACTGCCCCAGTCTTTGGAGAGATACTTTTACATCCTCCTGAGCTGGTTTAGGTCTATGACTTAACTTACCCCATAGTCATATCTGAAGGAAATAAGACACTACCATATCCTGACACAATACATTTCAAACCACAGAGATACCAGCTGGGAAACACCCAAAAAATCAAATTTCTTGTCCTAATGAACTAGAACACCATGGTCACTACAAAAACTAGAGACTGACATATTTATTCCTGTGCATTACATACACTCACCCTGTGAACAGCAACAAGCTCTAGTCATGTATCCAACCAAACCTGGACAAATTTCAAGCACAGCAGCAAAAATTAGGAGACAGAAATATGCATAAACTTAAATTTATGTGTACTGAAATGTCTACAGCTGTATTATCACCTTCCCTTTTAGGTTTCTGTCCCACTAAGCCTTTCCAAATGCCCCAGAGTTTGGCAACAGGCCATAGCTTATGAGTAATGGAAGAACTTCATGGCTATCTGCATACAACCAGTTTCTGGGGGCTCATTGCTGGAAAAACGGAAAGAGGAATTCTGTGTATAAAATGGCAAAAATGAAATTGACCCAAAGATGTCTTGGAAGAGCAAAACGCAGAAAAACAAAACATCATGAGCAAAGCTCCTGTAGTCTTAGGAAATCACATGCAGCTTTTTAACCTTGATTGGCTCCATAAAGCCTTGTTCTTTGCATAACTTACACAACGTTCATTCTCCTTAGGAAGAAGCAAATGCGTTCTCACTGTCCTTTAAAGGATCTGTGACTCTCACTCCAGACTGAGTTGCTTGCAGGGAGTGGAAGAGGGAGGGGAGAAGACATATATTTTCCCATTAAATATATACCTACAAGAAAAGTGGTAAAAGACTGTGATTGTAGAAAGCTAAGTCTGTATATTTGCCATGGAAACAGTACTTTTAAGAAACACAGTGATGGGAGGAATATCAACTATCACTTCAGTCTGCATTTCTGCAGAATGCAGTCATAGCAAACTGGCTAAAAGTAGGCTGCTCCTCATGCAGCTTGACAGACCCTCTAGTTTTATTAGCTGGGTGATTATGGGTCATCTCTGGCTGCTACTTTTGAAATGTCCTAGGTATTATTTACAATATTCAGGAAATATAAGGAATTAAGTGGAAAGAGTGAAAAAGGCTCTGACCTTACTCTGGACACTCACCTCATTTTTTTGTGAGGCCAGCAGCCGCCTTGATGCATATTTCATTCATACCTCTGCCTGTTTCTTTACATCCTAGCAGAGGCACACACTTTAAGGAAAGAAAGGGACTTCTTTGGACACCTCCTGAAGACAAAGCAGTGCAGGCCTTGTTCTGGTATTCTGCTTTTGGAAGCTTTTTGTTTCACACATATCAGGAAAAACTTGACATTAAAAGCACTTCCAAGGTCTAAGAAAGCTTAAATTGAAGTAACAAACACAAATTTTAGCAGGGTTCCCTTTCCAGGGTTGTCACTACTTCTGTAATCATCATCTCTCTGGTTTTTGCCTCTTACCAGTTTCCTTTCCGTTTGATGCCCTCTTCCTCTTCAGTCACCTCTCTTTCCTGTCTTTATTCTTTTTGCTACCAAAGGTGTTGTGGAAACATCCCAGTTTCCCTTCTCATCCCTACTATAATGTGAACAAAATGAAGCAACTACTTTTGCCAAAGGAGAGAGATAAACATGGTCAATGCTGTCTCTTAGCCCTCGACTCTACAGAACAAGTATGGTACACACTCCAGAAGAATTCACAGCACCTGCCCTTAAGGAATGCCAAGGAGTTTGGCTGCTCCCAGAGTTCAGGGAAATGCTGCTCTTCCAGTCACGTGCAGCACTGCTGTTCAGGAGGGTTGATCACCTTGCAGAGTCGCCTTCAGCTGCAGGAGAGTAGCCCAGCACAGACATGGATGTGTGTTTCCAGAAGAGGAAATTTTTGCTGCTCTGGTCTTTTGTCACAGTCCTGGCTTCTTTCTAGTTTCCACAGAATATTATTGATGGATACTCTGGGGAATGAGCTGGCATGGGGGCTTGTCAGTAGCACAGGTTTGTTTTTCACAGATTGTTGCTAATAAAACTACCAGACAGATGGAAAGTGCATTCAGGAAGTTTCTGTCCTTCAGAATTACTTATTTCCCAGCTTGCCACATTTTCTTGAAGATAAAGCAATGCTTCTCTTAGTGTTGGATTTAAAGCCTCTATAGGTAACTTGTTTTCCTAGGTCTCTTGCTGATTTCCTGGCTCTTGAGAATGGCTTGGTCTCCAGAACAGTGTGAGCATTACCTCAACTAAACTGGTTTATAGCACCATCACCTTGTGGCTGGTAAAAGAGGCTGCAATGGTCATCAAAGACTGGTGGCTTCATCACACCTGGGAGGCAGTGCTGTGAAAAAAAAGGCCAAAGTGAGATCTCTGCACCAAGAAGTTATTTCTTTTGTTCTAGGAAAAAAACAAAGTAGTGTTCTTTGGTTTATTTGCCTATCAAAGTAATTTCTAGAAAGGAAATGCTAGGAACAACTCACATAGGGTTTTTTTTAAAGTAACCAGATGATTGCCAGTTGCCACTTATCTGATGTCAGCCTTGCCCCAAGGATAGTCTGAAGCAGACAGCAATCTCCTTCATCAGCTGCCACTGCTCCCAAGTAAAAAGAATACATAAATGTCTCTGAAGGCTAAAAACATGCCCACAGGCAAAGGAAAAGAATATACTGGAATACACTTTAAAAACAAAGCTTTACATGATACTTCAGCAAAAGTATACTCAGATACTGTAGGGTATTTTGTTTGCTTAGTTTGATCAAGAGTGATGCTGGTGATGGAAAAGGACTCTTTGCCTTAGCTGGATCCAAATCACAGCTGAGCCTTTAGAAACACTAAGCGTTCATGCTGTAACCATGCAAACTTCATGTCCTGACCTTCAACTGGAAAATCCTTCTGCTGCTAGGTCTTTTTACATAAAGTAATGGTTTCTCCTGTTGCTACCATTCTAAGCAAACTAGGATTCAAAGGAATTATTTTATTATGTAATTAGGACAAACCTAAAGAAATCTTACTGATTCATGGAATCCTATTTTAGATGCAACATTTGAACTTCCTAGGTAGACATAGAGAAATATTTTTTTTTCTAAGTATGCAATGGTCACCTTAAGCATGATAGCATATTTTGTAATGTTTGCTTTTAATTCATGCTAGCCAGCCATCCTTAAATAAAAAACAAAAACTTAAAACAAACATAAATAAAAAACAAATCTCAAATCAAACCAAACAGTAAGTGTGGGTATTGCTCAGGAGTCTTCAGTATGCTTTTGGACCTTACAGAGGAAAAAATATTATGAGAAAAAGATTCTTTTTCTTTTGATATAGAGCTATTTAGAGCTCTTCATAACCTGACAGGAATTTTCTGAATTATTGCAGAAGTGATTTCATCTTCCTTATCCTGAGGTGCCTATTTTGCTGTCTTAAGTGCTGCCCTGTGCGTCTGTATATGAGAAAGGAAAGCAAAGTGGCTTTTTCACTGGACCATTCAGCTGGTACCAAGAGGCACTGCAGGAAATGTGAGAATTTATGTCAAATACAAGTGTGTTTGATCTGGAGCAAGGGAAAGCAAAATTCTCCCAGCAGTAAGCACACTAGTGGAATAAAGAGCTATTCAGTAACATCTTTCTCACTGTGCTGGTTTTGGCTGGGGAGAGTTAAAATTCTCCCCAGTGGCTGGTATGTAGCTGTGGTTTGGATTTGTGCTGAACATAGGGTTGATAATATAGAGATGTTTGTGTTATTGCTGAGCAGGGCTTGCACAGAGCTAAAGCCTTTTCTGCTTTTTGCGCTGCAACACTAGCAGGGAATTTTGGGGTGGGAGGTTGGGAGGAGCTACAGCTGGGACGGTTGACCCCAAAATGACCAAAGGGCTATTCCACACCATATGGATTATGCTCAGTGTATAGAGTGGAGGGAAGAAGGAGGAAGGGGGTATGTTTGGAGTGACGGCAGCTGTCTTCCCAAGTAACCATTACATATGGTGAGGCCCTGCTTTCTGGAGATGGCTGAACACCTTCCTGCCCATGGAAGCACTGAATGAATTCCTTGTTCTTTGCTTTGCTTACATGTGTGGCTTTTGCTTTTCTTAGTGAACTGTCTGTATCTCAACACATGAGTTTTCTACCTTTTGCCTTTCTGATTTTCTTCCTGATCCTACTGGTGAAGGACTGAGAGAGAGGTTGTGTGAGGCTTGCTTGCTGGGGTTAAACCACAACACTCGCATAGAAACTCTCATTTTTTACCTTATCACTTGTGACCCCAGGTGCTAAGCAGACAGAGAGCCCATTGAATGAGCACTGTTTTACAGATGCTGTTGCTGCCAGCAGAGGTAGAGGAGATAATCTGGATGTGCAGTCCTTGGCCTGAATAGTTCTGGGTGACTAATCCTTATGGATTCAGACGACTCTGCCTAAGACTGGGAATAGTTTTTCTACTGGTAAATCCCGAGGAATGAGGATGGTGGACTGTGGCTGTGTAGCCTTGGTGATCTTATTGAAGTTGTTAGATAATCTAGAGGATCAACAGTAACTCTGCCAAGGTGGCTATGAAGTCTGGTAACTGATGCTCCCCTTATAGTGCTTGGGAGAGTTCTCGAAGATGGCTGAGGTTATGCAATAAGATGTTCAGGGATTTGTCTGAAATCACAGTGATGAGTGTGTGCTGCTAGCAGATGTAAAATATAAAAGTGTTTCTAAAATCACAGTCTTTGGTCAGCTCACTCAAGCATTAGTAAAGTATTTGCCTTGTCTGAAGAACCACAGATGCGACCCTGAAAATAAACGGTGCTCTTCTGCAGTACAGAACAGGGATAACTCTTCTGTGAGCAGGAGGATATTGCTTTTTTATATAATGTAGCCTGGTGACTTACATGACTCCCCCAGGAATGCATTTGCATCTTCACAATCAATTTCCACCTGCCAGAAAACATCTTATTTTACTATTTTGTGCTCTCATGGGTGATGAGAGGCTCTGCATGACTCCTGCTGAATGTGCTAATGCCTATAGAGTTAAACCTCATTGAGTGAAAAAATATGTGTTCAGCAGCATGCATGAGCGTAGACTCCAATATGGACACTTAATACTGATTGGAAATTGAGATCCAGCTTCTGCTCAACTTTAAAAGCTCAACTTTTAAAATTTCCAAGAAAAACCCATGAGGCCAGCCCAATATGCAGGGATTTCAGTAACATGAATATGCAACTGATACAAAAAAAGTGGCACCTATGGATTTATGCTTACTGGAGTGGGCAACATGTTGAGTGGGAGTTATCAGGATAATTTTGAATCTAGTTCTACCCAAGTTTCATCAAATGCATCCAAGTGCTGATCTTTTCCTGGGTTCAGTTTACACCAAGACAAGCAGCACTTGGATGTGAACTAGTGCTGAAACAAGACTTATAATGAGCTTGGGATTCAGATCCAATATACAACAATCTGAAAATAGATATCATGAGTTTCTTACAGTGCCAAGATTGTTTTGCAGCCTTCAAACAATTTTATCTTTTAATCTAAAGCCCAGGCATGTGCTAATGAAGTAATATTAATAATAGAATTTCATTTTGGAGTATTCAGACAGGGAAATAAACACTGCTGTAGTGAAATCTACCAACCACCAAAAGCCAGACTCTTTTGCATTACTTTTCTTTGCAGTGGAAATCTGCAGTCACTTCTCTGAATTTAGAGGTAGAATTAACACTTGCAGTGGAGTGACATGAAGCAGAATCCAAGGGTTTTTTGCTATTAGGCACTCTTGTTGCATAAATAAACACAGTATGTAGCTGCTGTATATTATTTTTAAAGTCAGCTTGTGTTTAAGTTGCAAATACAGTCAACACTAATTTACCCTTCACTTTGTCTTGGAATTTCAAAAAAAAAAAAAATGGGATGCCATATGCTAATTCAGGTAGTGGTACTAATGGTACTAATTCAAAATCTCAAAAATCTTAAAAATAAAGCTCAAAAAGATAAGTGCTCACATGAAATTTCATGTGTTAGTCTTCAAACTAAATGGCTCATTAGATTGTCTCCTGTGTCCTACATTCAAAGGTCTTGTACAGATTTTACTATGAATAAGAAAAAAAGAGAGGGGAAATAGTCTCCAAAATAAAGCACAACCTCATATCTTTTCTAGTGTGTTGTATCACAAAATTGCATCTGGTTTCCTTACCCAGTAGAAGCCCGTGCTTTCCAAGACAATAAAACAGAAAAATTAATCATAAGAGAGGGAAAACCCAAACCTTTAGCACACCTGAACTTGTTCACCTGGAAACTGAAAGCAAGGCACTGTTATCCAAATCTTCTAAACAGGAACAATCATCACAGAGACTTATTTGAGTGCAACAAGAGCTGGTGGTTTATCCCCCATGTTTGGTGTTTTGCTCTTGGTTTTATTGGTTTGGTTTGGGGGGTTTTTTGAAAGTATTTTCTGAAAAAATATACAAGTAATTTACCAGCTTTTCCACTGTGTCCCTGTTAGTCATCAGATTTCAATGGAATGGGGATTTTGCATCTGTTTTTGAGAAAAGGTGATCCTCAAGTAATATAAAGTACACCAGAAGCTGCTGTTCTGTTTGCTGGTGTGTGATCTTACATTCAGGGATGTCTTGTCCATAGTACAGCACTTGTGTCAGTTGCCAGAGGCTTTTTGAACTGGTGTGCAATGGCCTCTCAGATCTATATGGTTCTTGACAGGTCTATTCTGTTGCTGCTTTGTACCCACTTTAAAATTTCATGTTGTATTTCTCTATGCAATTTCTTCAGCAATTACCTTTTCCCTTTCTTTTCCTTCAACAAGAAAGTAAGCAGAGCAGCCTTACTCTCAGAGAGCTGGAGAATGGCAGTAGAGGAGGAAAGCATTCATCTCCTCTTTCCTGGCTGCAGCGTTCAACCTTGAATTTACTAAGCATAATTTCATAGAGTGATGTAGACTGGAAAAGACATCCAAAGGTCATCTGGTCCAAAACCCAACTCTGAGCAGGGCTGAGATCATATTGCTCAGGGTCTTGTCTTTGAGTTTTGAGTCGAGTTTTGAGTCAAGTTTTGAGTATCTCCAGGCATGGAGATTAGTGGTGGATACAGTGTGAATCTCTTCCTTATCTCTGCACTGTTAGCTGAGTGTGCTTAAATGTTCAGAGAAAAAAGAGAAGACACAGCAAATGTTGAGCTTTGTGTAGCACACCAGTTTTGCCAATAACAAGGCCATAAGTTTGACCCATCCAAAGGGCACATGTGATAAGTCACTTGTCTCTCCATGTACATGTGAAAGGAAAATCAGCTAATAATTTCAGGTTTTATCCCTCAGGATTGCTTCACAGTACATATTTTTCCACATTTCTATCACACCATTAATCTTTATCCTGTGCCTTCTGTGGATTTCTTTTTTCCCTCCCACATAGGCTGCCAGGATCCTGCTCTCCAAGGGGTCACAGGTTGCAGAGGGATCCACAGAAACAGGAAGCCAGGCTTCCTCAGTCAGTTTTGAAACACCAAAACCTGTTTCCTTTCTACAGAAATAAAGCCTGTCAGGGCATCCTCTGGGTAGGCTCATTATCTGAGCAGCAGCCCAGGAGGAGGGAGAAACTACAGGATTTCTTGTTTAGGAAATAAATGTGAGATAACTTGTAGTATTTAAAAACCATCAGAATGAAAGAGATAATTTTCTTGCTGCTCCTATTGTACTTACACAGGGGCAGCACTGGATTTAACACTCTAGGAAAACTCTGGACCACAGGACAAGGCGATGAAACCCAGACACATCATTCAGACTCAACTCCATCTTTCACCACAATTAGGGGTTCACCTCATTCTGAAATCCAAGCTGCCAAAGCAAGTGCCTCACAGGGACCTCCTTTTGCATCTGCAGGCAAGACACTGGGAATGACAACAGTGAAGAAAACTTCCAGCCCTACAATATCTACCCCTGCAAGTCAATCAAATGGACACAGTGAAGGTGACTCTGGCAGAGACAAGACGGGAAGCTCATCTTTCAGCAAAGGGACAACTCTACAAAGCACTGCTAGAGAGATCCTTCTCCAGAAAGGAGTCACTACAAGCCTGGATGCAGCTACAGGGAACAGATCTGTCAAGCAATCCTCTCGCAGCACCGGCATCATCAGGGGCCAGCAGGATGCCAACTCCAAAGCATCCAGCTTTGAAACTACAAAGGGAAAGTAAGCTACGTATTTTTTCTTGTCTCCTACGTACTGCTTATATTCCTGTTTCCAGTGACATAAATGGAAAAGGTCCTAGCAATTTCAATACAATTATTTTTTGACCTTAAAAAAGACCATCTAAAACAAGCAAGGGACCAAACTGGCAGCATTTACTCAGGCTTACCATGGTAACATTTCTAACAGAGTAAATGCAGCAATGTTTTATTCCTTAGGGTGGTTATCTCAAAATCAACAGGGAAGTCATTATCATATATGGGTAGGAAAGGACTACAATAGATGGCCCCCAGTTTTATACACAGTAAACTGCTGTTGACTTTTTTTTCTTCCTTCTTTTGCAAAGAAATTGCAAATGCACTATTTTATTTTAAACCCATTAAAAAATATTGTGTTTGTAAACTTCTCCAGTAAATCGAAAATACAAGCAATTAAATGTATAAAATGCATCAATGTCTGACAATTTGAAACATCCTATTCTTAGGATTATACTACTTATGAAAATAATTATACTACATACTTATGCATAGTGATGTTGTAGGTGAATGTGCATTCAGAGCTCTATAACAATACACAATAGCTGTGCATAAAAGAGTATATCAAACTGCACTGTCTAGTTTTATAGTTCTGGAACGCTCAATTCTTTTCTTTTTTCCCAAATGTATTCAGTTCTTAATGGGGATATTAACTCTGACTTTGCAGATATTGCAAGTTTCCCTTAATTGCTGATATATAATCAGATACGGGTAAAAAATGAAAGACACAAGGGGTTGGTTGTTTTCCATAGTATTTATGGAGAGTGGGCTTTCAGAATATACATTTATACTTATGATAGTACTTTCCCATATGGTAGCATACAAATTCCTGGAAAGGAGAATAAATCATCACTCCTACAATTATCTTCCTTTGTTTAGCTGGGAGTTAATGTTCCTTCAAGTGAAAGAAAAGATTCCCATTAACCTGAGCATGTTTTGGGTGATTCATAAGCGAAGGAATGCATAAGGACCCAAAGCAAAGGAGTCCTTTGGCTCTGCTTGGAAGAGAGTGCCCAGTAAAGGAGCTGTGTTTCCCAGACAGCTTTCTCAGCATACTCCTTAAGTTCAGAAAGTCATCCCTTATACCACCTTACCACAGGGTTTGACAGAGTGTCTGAGTTCACCTGAGTTAAATGGAGTCTCTTTTCACATGGGTGCTGATAGCTAAATCTCTACTGAAATAAATCCTAATACATGCTAACCTTGGTCTTTAACTTTCACAGCTTTCTTCAAGAACAGTATTCCAATTAAATTAATCTTCAGCAAAACTCTATGAATTAGCAGAGTTCTGCCTTTTACACGAGATATAAATCCAAATAGCAAAATGTCTCTGGTTAAGATGCTCACTTATTTTATCATATAAATATACATGATACATGGTTGCAACTATATAAATATACAGGATACATGGTTGCAACTGCAGAGAGGCAAAAGAAGCAAATCTTGTATTTGCCAGCACCAAATTCTATGAGTGGTCAAGGAACAACCTGCTGTGCAACATGCATATTGGGAGTCCACTGAGCCAGTTAGCAATAAAGCCAGGATTGCATATCAAATCTACAGGAATGTGTAGCAGCATGAAACCCCAGCATAAAATCCAATACTGAATCCCCACTCTCTTGCTCAAGCTGCTGAGCTACATACCTTTCCCTCTCTAGCAAATATCTACAGTTTTAGCTGTGGCTCAGTCCTTTTCACAGTAAGATTCTTGCGCTGCAAAGTTTGTCTTCCCACAGTGTATGAGTGTTTTTACAATCAGATGTGCTGTTTTGAACTTTCCTTCCACTTTTGCCATGAGCTGGACCACGACTTAAGTGACTTTGCTGTTCCATCTTCCTTTCCTTATGGATTAGGCCTGGATGAATAATAAACATGCTTGTGAATAATTTTTCTTTTTCAGCAAAGACATGAGAAAATACCTAGGGTGCTCACTGTTACCAATCACTGCTGTGAAACACCTGAAAAACTACTGCTGAGAAAATATGCATAAGAAGACAAAAAAATTTATTTATTAAGTGTAGGTGCCATTGACTACACCCTAAATAATTTGTACCATATAATTTCTTCTTTTTTTTTTTTTTAATATTTATCACAAATAAAGTGAAAAAGATACTGGAAGAATTCCATTAAAGACACAGCTTTCTTCAAGGTTTTATTCATTTGAAGCCTGAGCACAGCATGATTCAATAGCAGATTCCACAGCTGTAAAGTGTACTGTCTCTAAGGAAGTTTGGAAGAATGATTTGCTTTTTGAGTTTACTTTGAATTAGACAACCTCTTTGGTTATAGTCTGTACTCCAACCTAAATTTTTGAGTGACCTTGTAGGAACTGCATGACTCTCTAATCCTTTATGGCAACCCATTGTGCTCACATATGTGCAGAGATGCTGATGTTAGGAGGCTCCATACAGAAGGAACAATAGAGAGAGATCTGTGAGAGACAAGAGGAAGGAAAACAGACAAGAGCGAATATTTATTTTTAAACATATTTCTAATTTAAAAAATACCAGTGCATACACTTTGTTAGAGAGTCTGCAAGGCTGTCAGATTATCCACAAAGTACAATATGCATCCATTGTACAAACTTAATTGGCCAAATATCCCTTTCCAAAGGAGGCCATGTGCCTTAATGGCTTAATCACAAAGATAATTCCCTTACTACTGCTACCCTAGGTTATGTGAGGACAATATTATGCACCCATATCTTATCACATGCACTCTAGAACTAGGTTAGGCTTTGAACCTCTCTCTATCACATCCTGATGTGGTATTACAAGGGCTAAATATCAGACACATCCTTTTCTCTAAAAACATTAATCTCTTCCTTATTCTTCACTGGCACAGAAATGCAATTAAATCCTTTTCCTTCACATTGTAACAATTTTACAATTAACCTTAGAATAGGTACAAGAGAACACAATTTGTCACTGTCTGCTCTCCAACCAGTTAAGAAGAATGTTTTCTGTGGTGAGGTATCCCTGCTTCAGGCAGAGTCTGCACCCAAGTTTTCATGAGGATATGTGCTTCATAGGAACCACATCTGGAATGGTCTGAGCTGAAGGAAAATTAATTTCTTCACTCCTAGGAATGAATTTGACCTATATTCTGAAATGTGAAACTTAATTTCTCTATAAATACGCTTTTTTTTCTTACTTTTCTATTTCTACCTATCTTCAAAGTTTTGTGCAATCCATATCAATGAATAAAGAAATAATGGAAACCTAGAGTGAGAGAATTTCTCCAAAATTCAGTGACATAAATCTGAGTGCAAATTTGGTGTGAAAGAAGAAAATTTATGATACATTCTTTTCAACTGACTTCATTTGATATACATGTTTTTCAGCCTGTGGAGAGAGACAATTGCAGTATTTCACTGTGTAAAGCAGCTTAAACAGCAGTGGTGCAATGGAGTCTCAGGTGGAGTCCTGAGACCAGCACACTCATCTTTTCATTCTGAACCTGATTTTATTAATTACTATCCAAGGAAGCTCCTGAATACATGAGACCTTCATTCAGGCTGTAAATTAAGCACAGTATCCCCACATTGCTGAGTGGCTATACATTACTCTTTTCTCTTATGTGTGCATTACACCTTTTCCAGTTATCTTGAAGCCACTGAGGGTTTTTATTGACTTCCTCTACCATTACCTTGGGTAGTGGTGAGGTGACAGTATTTTATTACTAAACACAGAAGGGTTTAATAGAGTCAGCATCAGGGACAGATTTGCTTAGCTGTCACATGTGATAGGAGTGCTGAAATATTTCATTCTCACGACCAGACGTCTGCACTTCTCCCTGGAAATTGCTTTTGCCTGTATCAGCTTGGTAGAAATCTAGTGTACTGACAAATTAAAATGAATGGTTAAGATCAGCAGACGGTTCAGATACATGAGACACATAGAAACCTGATTTAACTGCCTAGTTAATGTAAGGTTCACAGTCTCTTTTCATCATGTCACTTTTTAATGGAGCAGAGAGAACAATTCTTGAATCAATTTCCTAAGATTTTGCATCAGTGTGCATTTACAAAAAATACAGTCACACACGGCTTAGGTTTCTGCCTCACTAGGTATATTCACTGTGACCTGGAAGGAAGAAGCTCTTACACAGGCCTGAAGTTGCCTTGGTGGCTGTGTCAGGGTGTGTTTGACAATATTTGTCCCCAGAATGTTGTACTACAGCTATGCAGAAGGTGGTTGCAATAAGTCACTCTCATCCAGCAGCACTTTGAATAGATTTCTGATGCTCAGCTGTAAGCCCACAATCCAATTTTCCTACACATGCTCAGTGTTACTCCCATAGCAGTCCCAAAGCAATGATTGCTGGTAGAGCCATGACAGACTGTTTTCAGCAGGAAACACAGCACCACAAAAAAAGAAAGATCACTTCTTCACTGAAGTTGTTTTTGAGACACTCGCAAAATACTTGGCCTCCTCAGAGTCTCATTGTTTAGTTTCTCTGTGATCAGATAAGGCACCACTATACAGATGATTTCTGAGGTTATTTTCAGGATGGTAAGGAAAGTTTCTCTTTGTCTCATTACACTAACTATTGCATTAATGCTCATGCTTATCTTGCTCTTGTTCTTTGTTTCATCTGCCATGGGAACAGCAAGGATTAGGAAGAGACTGTTTTCCATCCCTGCAGTGTCCTTTCGCCTTTCTGAATAGTTCAGGATTACTGTGCCAAACCAGACACAGTGTTAGGATTTTCCTCCTAGCCACTGCAAATAGTCAACCCTTCGTGGCATTTCATTTAAACATCTCCTTGGGTATGCACAGAAAATAGGCGTTCTTACAAATCTGAATATAATTAACATTTCAGAGGACTGACCCTAATTCTAGAATAGACTTGGCAAGGAGAGGACAGCAACAAGGTGTCCCATATGTTTTCCAAAGGCTTTATCTGTGTTGCAAGATAGAGAATGCAAGTATTTCAAATGTCAATTTTCCTGCCAAATCTGATACAGAGCATCTATTCTGCATCACATTCCTGGTAAGCAACACCATTGGTCACGAGGAAAAGCCTGTGGAAAAAAATCACCTTGAATTTCATGGACTTTGGCTCAGATCCTTTCTGTTCAAGAGCCCCATAAGATCAGACAGTGACAGCATAAAGATATGTATCTGTATGATTAAGTGGCAATTCAGATACAAAGAAACTGTCAAGGCTTTTAATCATTTAATGAAAGGAAGCAAGAAAAGAGAAGTGGTCCAAAACAACACTATAAACAAGGACAAATTCCCCCCTGAAACTGTAATGGATCTTAATTTTTATATTTTAATTTTGTCACTTACAAAGGTTTTTTTTGAGTTGTTAGTATGTCTCAAAGTAGAGAAGCCATCACTGACATACTGAAATCTCCTTTTCTGTAGATCACAAAAGCACTAAAAAAGCAGTGAAAACCAATACCATTGAAGGTTACCTGAAAAGCACTGACAGTAAACTAAACCAGAACTTCCTTAATGAATTTTGTACTCTGGGTTGATTAGAAGATGGAAAATAAATTTATATTCCAGAAGTAAAAAGGCAGAATTCAGACCTTTTTAAAGAGAACTTTGTCTGCATTTTCAGATGTGCTTTACTGGATAATTCTTAAAGATTTGAGATTAATAGATATCTTCTACAAAGTCTAAATTCTATCTGGAAAAGTTTTATTGTGTTAAAGGGCTCTGAACACAGAGTGGGAAATCGTGTATCAAAGAGGTGATCTTATTTGCAACTAGAGAACATTTTAAATGCTAAAACATATTGGTGAAGTGCTAGATAAGTGGAAATTGTGAATTAATTTTTGCAGCACTAGGGAGGACAAACAGTAAATAAAAATTCAGATGAAACAAAGAAGCTGTTTGCAGTCCAAGGCTTCAGCACTGCAATACAAAAAAAAAGGAAATGAATGATGAGAGCAGAATTTGTGTTTTGTAATAGACAGGACAAAATGTCAGGACACTGAGTCCTGAAAAAAAAACATTAAACAAATCTGTGACACCTATTGCTCCAGTCAGTGTCAACAAGTCAGCTGCTTCTCAGGGGTAAAAACATATCCTATGACATATTTTCACATACTGTTTTATATTACATGTCACAATATTTTATATTACATGTCACATACACCTTTTCATTTCTTCCATTCCAGCCGGCTCGTAAAACACATTTTCCAATTTGATTTGTTTATGGCCAGTCCCTAGTGAGTACTGAATTTTTATTGCAGCTGAGATTCATACATTTCAGAGCAAAGGAAGTTGGGTAGTGAACCTAAAGAACTAACTGGTTTTGGTTCAAGCTTATAATTTCTCTTTGAAATAAAGCTTATCTCTTTGATGACAGACATTCACTTAAAGATATAGACTTTACTATAGCACAGTGAGAAGCCTCTGTGGTCACCTAGTGGAATTCAAAGGAAGTTGCTAAAACCAGTCTCCCATGCAATAGCAAAAAAGAACCTTGTGAGGGTGCTTGCTATCCTTATAATCTGAGTGTTTACACTGTGTCAGTCAACATTATCTCTCCTCATCCAAACTTGGCAGGTTGTTTAAAGCAGATTGAAAAGACAGCATCTCGTCACTCTAGATGCTTGTAGCATCTTTCTACATCCCCTTTGCTCAGATGTGAAGGATAACATAAAATTAAAACTGCTGTAGAATCAAGATGAGTAACTCAGTAACTATGCTGTGAAATACAAATAAGCTGCATGCAACATAAACGAGGTACAACCACCAAGCTGGGCATTGACTTTGACAAGAGCCTCAGCTCTGGGTCCTTTTGTATTCCATCAACAACACAGTAATCTCATTTTCATGATTCAGTGATGTTCAGCTGGGCTGATTCAATAGCATTTCTATTAAAAGACGAGTAATCTAATTTACTCACAGACAAAAATCAGTCATTTTCAGATACGATATGAAGGGGCCAGAACTGATTCTGTATCCTTTGTGGTCCGACTAGCATTGGTATTCCCGTGGGGTGGCTCTAGCACCACTTACAAGGATCTGTGCTTACCAGCCAGAGGAAGCAATCACGTACAGGCGTTGCCGACACTTTCTGCGAGGTTTATTCCTCGGCAATGGACACAGAGGACATTTTACAAGGGAAACGTGCTGTGGAAGGGGGGCTGCAGGGACCCTGGAAGAACCGGAGCAGGTTGTAATTCGCTTTTCAGCAGCACCGGGTTCCCCAGCGCCGGCCCCTCCGCGGGCTGCGGCCGCCACCTGTCAGCCGAGCCCGGCACTGCCGGCGGGCGAGGCCCGGCCTGGGCCCGGCTGAGCGCTGACGGGAGAGGCTTTGACAGCGCAAAGGCGGCTTCAAGGGCTCTCAAGTGTCTCCCGAGCCAGGAGGCAGGGATCCCAAAAGCTAAAGAGAGGCTTAAAGGCAGAGTCTGGGTGTCACTGGTGGGTCCGTGCCCGCTGGGCCCAGGCGGCTCTGGCTGCCGAGGCTGCCGAGCAGACAGGCGTGCTCACAGGTTCCAGCAGAAGCAAACGCTGCTCTTGCTACCGTGCCCTGCTTCCTCAGCCCTCACGGCGGAATGACACGTTTGGGTGCAGGCGCACCCCGCTGAGTGCAGAGCTGGGCTAGAAATAATTTGATTTAAGCTGGAAATACGGCAGCAAATACCACATCAAGGAGGCTGCTTCAAAGGCCTGACGGTTCTCCCACACACTGCCATCAGTGCAGGTTCCTGGCCGAGACATGCAAGAGGAGGATGAAACCTGTCACTTGGGCTTTATGCCAGCTGGGGACTCGCTCTTTCCAGGCTGGATTTCTGTTGTGTGTTGTGAGGATTTTGTTTTGTTTTTAAATACAGCTTTCCTGATTGAAATCAGGCTCAATGCAAAAGAGACATTAGGCTCCTCCAGCTCTCATCAAAATCTGCATGTTAGAAGCCTGTGTTGATGATCTGGAATAAATTATTCCAGGGAGGGTAAAGAGGATTTTCAGGTTTAAAGTCCTGTTATGCAAATCAGTTGTCTTCTGTTCTGCCTTTGCATTAACACAGCCTGTCATAGTTCTTCCGCCACGCTTCATCTTCTATTTCCAAATCTACATTTTTTCAGACAATTTGATTTCAAAATTATATTTACATTCTTAACGTCTCTAAATGAGCTTATTTCATTGGTAGCGTAAACCTAATTACGAGTCACACCAGGGGCTCTTTTGCTGTGAATATTTCCTCCAATTTAGCCTGATCAAAGATTGCTGGGCTGTGTGAGAACCACAGCTTCAGACATCACACTCATGTACATTAAGAATGAGTTAAATATTTTAAATGGGAGCAATCTGCTCAAGTTTGTTACAGTTTTGATAGAGACCAGAGGCTGAGTTCAGACTGTCTTTAAAAAACAAGAATCACCCTTAACATTTGGGGTGTACTGTAACATTTTTGCCTTTGGAAGGCATCTCCAAATGGACAAGTTCCAATAGCTGTTCCTCAAAGCTAGGCACCCGTAATAATAATAATAATAATAATAATAATAATAATAATAATAATAATAATAATAATAATAATAATAATAATAACAATAACAACAAGAGTTGTTATTTTTGAATGTGAATTTTTTAAAGGTTTGTGGGGGGGGGTAGGGTTGTTTGTTTTCTTAACTGAAATCTATATTCCAGTGCTTTCATGTCTTCTGCAATTTTTTTAATGCCTGTTTTCATTCTTTTATCTTTTCATCGACTGCATTAGCTCAGGTGTAAAATGGCTCTCAGTTACTAGAATGCATACCCCAAGCATATGCACAGCAGAACAGGTTATCAATGACAATATTGTTGTATGTCTTCTGCTTAAAATCCCTTTCTCTGGTGAGCTGTCAGATCTGCATGCAAGGGTAAAGTGCAGGCTAGGGAGCCACAGGCCCAGGTCCCCAACATCACCACACTGTGGAGGAGATTTTAAAATCTAACCCCTACATTTAACTTATTTTCCAAGGTGGGATGCTTAGCACCCAGCTGCCCAAAGCATTAGTTCCTCACTTCCTAGAGAGCTAATGTGCAACAGGAAAGCACATGTGCTACTGCATAACAGCTAGAGATGGCATTATTGCTTCAGAGGTTTTCTGAGCAGACTTTATATGCCATCAGTTAATTGCTGAGAATTATTTAGGAATTTAGATGTTTACATTCTCTATACTTAGTTTAAATCATAAGCAAATCCCCATGCTTAGTCAGAGCTCCTCCTGAATAGATCAGTGTCGGTCTGGCCCAGAATCACTTCCTGCATCTGTTAAGAAATATTTAGTATCCCATTCATATGCTGAGAGATTTTTTTTTTTTTTAATCTCTGTGCTGCACTTCTGAGGATAAAAAAAACAGTTTTTAATCTTGGGTATGAATTTGCAGAACCCTCCCCACATCTGTGAAAAGGAAGAGCTTTCATGCCTGTACTGAGCAGGATAACAAGCTTTGATGGTCCTAAGCAACCCCACTCGTAGCCTCCACCTGCCCTGGGCTGGCACTCCACTTAAACCCAGGCTTGAGCTCATGTTATTTTCCTTATGAAGATGCTTGGCTCTAGCAGTCCTCTTGGACCTGGCTCCTTACTTGGTTCCTTCTGGGCTGCTCATTGACCTGTTCCTGCCACCCCACTGCTGCCTGCAGGTTCCTGTTGCTGTGCTAGCTCTGCTGCTGGTGAGGTCAGTGCCTGGCTTGTGTGACTGCGCCTTCTCCTAGGAAGAAACCCCACTCTTGTGCTCCCTGATGCTCAGTGAGGAAGCCCCCTGGAAGAGCTGTTTTCCTGGCAGTGCTTCCAAGGGCACCAAGTCCCCTCTGAGTCTGGCTCCTGTTGATCTCTTGGCGAGAGGGGATGCCTGTCCTCTCTTGCTGCTGCAGAGGTGTGCTGGAAGAGATGCAGCTATAAACTCTGTCTCTGGCTTACTGCTGCTGGTGTTAAACTCAAATATCATTATGATTTAATTACTACTGCCACTCTCTGTGGTACAGGAGACTGTAAAGGACCCACATGCCCCACCCAGAGGGGTGGGTAAGTAACTTCATTATTCCTCTGCAAAACTTGAGAGATTTAAATTTCCTCTTGTTTTTGCCAAATTTATGTGTCTCAGACTTGTATATAGTTGCTCCTGACTTCCCCAGAGAAAGTGAGCAGAGTATCTAATCTCTATGCTCGTGCTTGATAGCTACATTTAACTTTTAGCAAATATTCATGCAGTCTTTAATTAATACGCACAGATAAAAGGCAGTAACTAAAGGAGTGAGAACGTAAAGGAAACATCAAAAAAAGCACAGCCTTTTTATACCTAATTAAGAAGAAATACTATCTTAATGAAAACTCTCAAGCAAGTGGAGAGTGAGTGAGCAAAATCAGATCAAAGGCACTCAATAAGAGCCCATTTTATATGAGGCACATTATTCCTCAAATAAACAATGTGTGTTGTGAAAGGGAGTGCTGCAATATTGGCAGTAGAGATAATCTGTTAGTTTTAACATATTTCTGGCTTATCCTGCTTTTTTCTCAGGATTCCTGAGAATTCAGGACTATTGAGTATACACATAATGTGCATACACTGGTAGGATCTCAGTAGACAAAAACAATCACTTAAGGATAGATGCTGATGCTGTTTTGTGCTGTTGTTCATGTTTGAAGCACTGTAAATCTGTACTAATGCCACTTAAGTAAGTGGAACTAATCTGGTCTTAATTGTATTTTGATTTCCACTCTAAGGAGCCCATAGCAAGATATGACTTCTGGAGTAAATATGTATTCCCTTACTGGATCATGAAATATGAACAGAACTACTACAACTGGAAGAAAATGTTAGCAGAAAAGCACAACACACAAAGATGAACTTTAAGTTCTCATATGCAAATACTGTTTGGAAGTCCTTGCAGCTCCACAAATCCTACAACTGAAACAATGTCTAGTCACTAACTTGCCAAGTCAAAAATTAAATATGTTTCAGCATGCACAAGGGAATAGCATGATCCTGAGAAAGGCTGTACTAAGTTAAAGATGAAAGAAAAAAGTCAGCACTAGGCCAATTAAACATTTGTTCCACCAGCAGAAACACAGTAATACTTCAGGATGCCTTCCAGTCTGCAGCTGGAAGACTTCCTGAGACAAAGGTTATTGTTACAATTCAATGATTGTTACAAAAACCAAACTGATAATACCCTAATGACATGCTTTTTTCATGAAATAGTACTACTGCTTTTTAAAACCCTTTTGTCTTCCAAATTCAGCACAATCTATGGCTATGGAAATGCTGCATGACCCTTCATTTTTGTCTTCTTTAATTTAAACCAGTTTTGTTTTGATATCCATTTATCATAACAAGACCAACTGAATAATTAATGTCATGACTTCATATCTCTCCTGCTCTTCTATTTGTCTTTTTTCCCACCTCTCTTTAGGGTGTAGGATGAAACCTTAATTCTCTGCTCCAACAGTTTATAGACTCATGTACAGCAACAAAGAGCTGATGTACTGAAACAGTGGTGATTCCTGTTTTTTCTTTAGTTCTTCTCTAATAATTTATAGTATTTGATTACCTAGCTTAGTGAAGGCAAACCAATAAACTGGCCTATTTAGAGAGCCATTAATGATTACTCAAATTTTTCCCCTGATGAAAGCTATGTAGTGATATTATCTCTGTAAGCCTGTCTTTGTGACTGATTCTGCATTACAAGATTCTTTTCTGACACACACTTAGTTGGAAATTCAGTATCATGAGACTTCTGCAATTCTTCAACTTCAGCTTTTTTTACTGGACAAAATGATTTTGTAAAATTCTGTATAAGCCTTGCCATCCCCCTATTTACTTGCTTCTCCTCTAGTTAATGAATATAGTGCCTATTACAGATGAATGTGGGGTTGTGTTGATAAACTGCTTCTTGAAAAAGCAAACTAGTCTTTCATCTCTCTGATTTAATGCCTTATTTATTTATAATAGAATCTGTCTTCTTACTATGTAATAGATTGCTTCCACCCCCAATATCTTTTGGTGAGTGACCTTGTTAAAAGCCTCTGAAAATCACAAATTTATCTACTTGCTTCTGATTCAAGGAATACCAATATATCTCTGTGGCATAATTTCCCACTACAAATGTGTCCTGAGCCATTTTTCACATTATA